AGTGTTGTATATATTAAATACATGAGTAAATAATGAAAGCAGGCATGTTTTTATGAAAGTCTTACAGGTATTGTGGTAAAGTCTATATAGGAGCAAAAATGGAAGGACTGACCAATTTTCTAGGGAATGGGGGATCGATAGAGGAAGTGTTATGCTTGAATTGACCTCACAGATCCCTTTAGCTCTATTATCCTGTCTCTCACCTCCCTGTATTTCTCGAGTTTGTGTAAAGAAAAATCTGCATTTATTGTTTCCACTTCCCTCTTATTCATTCCTCAGACCCTGCACTCTAGTTTCTACCCTAGTACTCTACAATGCAGACATTCGTATCTGTTGAATGAAAATGGTTTGTAATAGCTAACATTTTATATAGCTCTTATCTTTGCCAGGCACTGTAGTATGTGTTTTGCTTACAATAACTTGCTTATTTCTTACAAGTACTCTAAGGTAGGTACTATTATTATCCCCATTTTAGAGATAGGCAGCTGAAGCACAGAAAGTTTAAGTGTCTTCACCAGGATCACAGCTAGTAAGTGATGGAGCTGAGTTTCAAATTCAGGCAATTTGGCTTCAGGATCCATGCATTGTGGATGACTGAATGAACCTAGTTCTCTTTTACCCATGTCTGTACATAAATGCCTCTATACTAAAGGTCTCTAATTTCCAAGGCAGACATTTTTTTTCTAGTTGTAATGGATTTTTCTTCATCCTCTCCCCTCACTCATTCAGGAAACTTTTAATATGTTTATGGCCAAGTACTAATCTAGGCACTGGGAATATAGAAATAAACGTTAGTCCTGTGGAGTATGCATAAAGCAAGTGTACTTCACAGGGCCTGGTTTTCCAAAGCCTTGCAGTTTCAAATATTGACCTTGCAAAGGACAGGAAATTTTCCCCAGGCTATAGTCTCTGTTGTAAGGTAAAGAATTGTAACACAGCAAGGTTGCTAGCTCAAAGACAGAAAGGTTACTGATTAATATGTAACGATACTGGAAAATTGCTGTAAGAAGAGAATGTTTGCTAAGATCAAGCTTTTGTTGGTGGATCAATTTCTTGAAAACTGCATTATAGAGTGTCACCTTGTCTGTCTTACTGAATGTTACCAGCTTCTATTGTTAAACTTGTTAAACTAAGCAAAAACCCCACCTGTGTTCTCTTCCTGTAACTTCCTGGTCTAGAGAATAAATGTGGGAAGAGAACCCCAATTCGTGGTCAATTTTCCAAATGGAAGGAAGGCCTCTCGCTTGAGGGTTCTGGGAGATTAACTCCTTTTCGGGGCTTCTCACTGCTCAGAAGAAATGGGCTTTGAGTAATCTTTGGCAGCTCTGTCACCCAGGGGAAAAGGGGTGACAAATCCATGGGAGGCAAAGCAACAAGTCCCACTCATCATCTGATGGGAGATGTAGAGGAAAATAGACTATTTTAATGTGGTATAAGTGCTGTGATGGAATAGGCCTACAGGGGGAACACTTAGCCCAACCATAAGAGGGATTTTGGTGGAAAAGCAGGATTTAGCCAAGCCTCTTTGGCTTGGATAAAAGAATAGGAATCTTAGCTTTATCATTTGTCCTCCTTTTTTTTTTTCTAGGTAGGATGGGATACAGTTGCTTTTTCAAAACCTTAAGTTACCTTTTTATGTATCTGCATGCTTACAGTGTTTCTTCTCTTTTCTTCTTTGTCATGTTTTTCTACTTGCCAGTCTCCTCACTGTGTTTTTCACTGTATCTTGTATTCTTATTTCCATCTTACTTTACTTCTTTCATCTTATCTAGGAACTCTGTCTTATCTAATATAATAGAGATTTTAGTTTACTTTCCTTCACCCCACTTTCTTCCTGTCTAGCAGGTTGGCCAATACATATTTAAAACACGCATGGGTATTGGTTTCTGTAGCAAGATAGATCTGGCTCACACTCTTGAGGTCACTGAGGTATAATTTCATTTTTGTTCTTCCTGGCATCAAGGAGAATTATATCCCTTGAAGCCTTTCAATTAAATCTGTTGTCCTAAATTTAGTGTCTCTTGGTATGTGGCTCCATACCTTTGACTTTGGTGTTATAGCACTGTGCTGTAACCAACCGAGTGCGCCCAGCTTTTCTATTTTTGACTCTGGCTCCCAGCATTTACTAGATATTGGCACTTGGAACACAGACTGGTATCTGCTAAATGCCAAGTACAGCCTCCTCTAAAAAACATGGTAGGAAAAACAATAAAGAAAGGTAGAATTTGACTCTGCAAACCAAGTTTGAATTCTATTTCTCCGTCACTAATTAGCAGGTTAGCCTTGGGCAAGTTACTTAACCTCTCTGTGCCTCAGTATTCTCATTTTTAAAGTGGGCAACTGGTAGTGACTATCTTACTAGGTTGTTTAGAAAATTATATGAGTTAATACCTATAAAACTTAGAACAGTGCCTGGAATATAAGAAGACATTTGTTAAAAGCCTGGTATTCCTATCCTCCTTGGCTATGTCCTATTTTTCCATGCAAATATTTGGCCCCTGACTTGGTATTGCCTCTTCCTTAATTGTTCATCAGGGACCTGGTTTTACTTCAGATTGTGCTCTTTTTCTTTCCTCCTTCTTGTGGTTATCCTTTGCTATTGTAGGTTTTTATAGTTCTGATATCCTTATTGTAGTGAAAAATAACTTAGGAAATTATCAGGAAGACACGACATTGTTATCAGTGATAATTTTATGGCTCATTAGTAGGGGTTTATAATAACAAAATAGATTTTTGTTTCATATAGCAATATGGATTATTCAAAAGATAAAAATCCTTTTCCATGCTTATTATCATGTTGCACTATTTCAGAAATATAAAACTCAAAAGTAAAAGATGTGTTCCCTAAATATTTATTTAGTGCACACTGTGTGATAAAGATGCTGTTAGTGCTGAATTATTATTGCTGTTAATTGTTTGGTGTATATTCTTACAGATTTTTTTTAAAGATCTGTGTAATCATATAAGTAATGTTATTTACTAAAATAAATCCAAACTTTAAAGTGGCTCTTATTTTTTGCTTTCTATCAGAAAATAATATATTTTAGATTGATGTTTTCATGTTAGCATGTACAGATTTATTGCATTCTTTTAAACTACTTGATAGTATACTTTTGAATGGATATATCATAATTTAGTTAATAAAACTTCAGTTGATGGATTCCTGATAGTTTTCAGTTTCTTTTTATTATAAGCAATGATACAATGAAAAATACTTTTATATATATCTCTTTGGTGTATGTGTTTCTGCAGGATAAACTTCTAGCAATGGAATTGCTGTATCAAATGGTGTATTAATTTAGAATCTTAATAAATTCGAAAGACTGTTCTTATTTAAATATCAACTTTCCTTCCTGTTTCCGTCTACTTTTAGGAAAACTGTGTATTATCAAGCTTATATTCTCTTTCAGTCTAATTGGGAATCTGTTTTATTGTCTTAATGAAAAATTGTAAGGGTTATTGTACTGGCTAGTTGTTTACATGGGATATTTTCTTAGGATATTTTAATACTATAGCTTCAGTTTTTTTGGTTACATTATTCTTCCAATGCTTAGTAATACTTCATTTGCTTTAACTTTTTAAAAATCTCACATTTCTGTTATTTTCCCGATGAACTTGTTACAAGCTTCATAGAGTTGCTTATGTGAGGTAATTCCAGAGCAGTAATGCTAGTGTGTACCCTCTTTGCTGTCATTCCAGTTTCCAGAATGTTCACTTTTTGAATAAAATGTCACTCATAATTCTCATTTATCTGGTATTGTTCCGAAGATGTTGAAGCATTTTTCTGGTTATGTGCATGTGTTTTGGTTATACTGGTATTTTACTAAATAATGTGGTCAAATCTTTTCATATGAATATGACCAAATCTTTTAACCTGGCCAAATAAACCTTTATTTATTACATTAACATTTTATGGTGTTGTATATATCCCCAGATATGAATTAGTTTAATCTTGGATCATTGGCTTTTGTAATATGCTAAGTAATACTGTTCTTACCACAGACCCCTGTGGGAGCCACTTAATGCCAATTCCTGTTGTGCGGTAGTAGCACTGATAAAACTTTAGTGCTTGCTATCTGCCAGGCAGATTTTTACCTAGCTTATTTTATTCAGACAGTACTTCTTTTCTTATATAGTACTATGTCAAAGGCCTTTTTGTAATGTAGATAAACTGTATCTATTACATTTCCTTTCTCCACCACCTCTGTAACTACTTAAAAGGTTTATAGAGTTGAGAATTAGTCATTTCACCACTGATTGTAAACTGTAAATCAGTCTTTCAAAACTATTACTTTACATTTTGGGATGTTTTGTAAAGTTGCCATTTTAAAAGCCCAAACAATTTCATCTTTCCTTTAGTCAAAAATATCTTTTTTTATGAATATAGCTTTAAAAACCTAAAAGTTCTTTTTTACAGTTCTGTTTGTTTGTGTTCATTCATAATATATGTTTCTCTGTGCTACATGATGATATATATGTCTGACACTTAATTTTGATATTTGTTGCTCTTACTAATAAAATATTAATATTTGAGAATATTAATCTGTGAGCAGAGCACCATATAGAAATTTCTTTTAAAAAGCCAAAATGTATTTATTTATTTATTTATACCCATTTATTTAAAAAATTTTTTAGTAAATGCTTTAAAGTTTAACATTATATAATGCAATCGTTTTTCACGTCCCTTTGATGATTATATTATCATTTGCTTTTAAATATTACCCTCTTTAGATAAAGTTATTTGTTTATAGGTATTTCATTCTATGTAACTGGATGAGAATTTTTATAGAAACTTTATGTTTTGAAAATATTTGTCTAGGCATTAAAGATAAATTACTTTAATGAAGTCTTTACTGATATTTGTGATTGGTAATGTAGGAAGTATTGTTTGACTGTTTTATTAGACACATAGTTATGCTTCTTGTTTTATAGTGTATAAATATCTACTATAACATGTAATACAAAGTTTATTGGTTTTATTTTTGTGTTTTTTTCTGTAGAGAGTGATAATGAACTCTCAAGTGGTACTGGTGATGTTTCTAAGGATTGTCCTGAGAAGATCCTATATTCTTGGGGAGAATTGCTAGGAAGATGGTAAAAATTTATTTTTCTTATTGAAAATTTTATATTTACATAGTTGATGTTTTAATTTGTTTTATTAAAGTCTATATATTAAATAGATTTGAAAAGATTAATATTAACAACTATCTTAATATTAATATATTAATGTACTTTATAAACATAAAAATTAAAATATAGTTCATAGATACTCTTTACTATGGCTAGGTCTTTCTTCCAATACGGCCTTTTCATCTTAACTTTTGGAAGATATATTTGCCTTATTATTACATTTAGACATAACATTGTTCAGAGTAGTCAATTTTGTGCTACATTGCCAACACATTTAAATATCTATTGTGAAAAGGTTACACTTCCTTTCTTTACCAAGTGTATTACCACTAAAAGGACTGTACAGCTTATAATTACTCATTTCACCACTGATTGTAAACTTTAACTCAGCCTATTTTATTCTTTGTAAAACTATTACTTTACATTTTGGGGTACTTCATCTGGAGTACTATAAAAGAGTACTCTGTTTATATTTCTTATAATAAATATTCTGTTTATGATCAGTAAGTTTTTTTAAAAAGGTAATTAAAACTGTCATATGTTGGTGAAATTAAAGAATCCTGCCAACAAAAAGACTCCTCTACACCAGTATAGACATAGAAAACACAATTTATTTTTGATATCATATTACATCCATGCACATTGTCTGGGAGAGACTACAAAGTCTGGACAAAATTTCACAGAAAAGTAGGAGAAAGAACAATTAAAACTTATTTTATCTTCTTGACGGACAGATGGATGCTCCTCATGGTCTTCTGTACATACTCTGAGAGACTCTTGCGTAATAATTTAGAAAGTATGTATTTACCATTCTGAGGATTGAAAGACTCATGATTTCTTATTGTAAAATCTGGAGATGATGTTTACCAAGCTCTGACCAAGTATTGGGCCTATTATATTTTGAAGGAGACACCCAGAGAAGAAGGGAGGGCCAACTGCATCTCCTTTATTAAACAAAGAAAATTTCATTTTATTTATCCTTATACGTACAAATATAAAATGTACACATCTCAGAGAATTTATTTAACTCAATTAATGGAGAACTGGTAAGAGTTTCTCAAAATGAGGATTTGATTTCTCAAAAAGAGATTTATGTTCTTTACCTGACAATTCATTTGCATTACCATGAATAGTAATAATTTGCATAGATATGGACAGAAAATATTTGCATTGCTATGAGTTTTCTACACATCATCTTCTATCTCTTGAGAGTTGTAAAGCCTAGTCAAAGACAAATAAAAGCACACTCCCCTATAGTATTAGATAATCCTCAGATGCTCCAGCATTCCATTGAAATGATGTTGAGTAATCTCTTTTGTCCATTTCAAAAAGTCTTTCACAGTTTTTCCCTACACTGTATCCAGAAGCTAATTTATTGATTTGTAAGTATTGTCTACCTAAATCTAAATTTATCTCATAAAGGAGTAGATATAATGGTAGCATTTTCTTTGATACCATAGCTTGGATTCTATTGTTCTATGTTTTCTTCCCTACCCCTTTCAAATTATTTGCTAGGGGGAGAAAGAGGAATTTATATGGACCTCAATACATCATAGAAATAAGCAGCTGTGTCCTATGGCAGCTCTACTTTATGGTCAGGATTTATTTTTCCCTGATTCTGTGGTCAGGAACAGGGGCATAGTCTTTTGTAGCAGGTCATTCAGGAAATAAGGTCTCCCTTATTGGATCTCTCACTACTGAGAATTGGGTGTTTACTTTTTACTGGCCCAACACATTCTTTCTAATATAGCAAAGTATAGCACACCTAAAGCTAATATCTTATATGCCAACTTAAATCAATCACCAACAAAACTTTTTGATATTCTATATACATGAATTGCGGAAACCAGTTTTTTTTCGGATAAAAAGTTTCTCCTTGCCTCTAATTTACTCTGTGGCAAAAATTTCAGTTTGATAAGACCTGTGGAAAGGTAGTGTGATTTAGTGGGGAAAAATTATGCTAAAACTCAGTAGAACTGGATTAGAGTTCTACTTGTAGTGCTGACTTGATATATAGGTTGGGCATATTATTTAACCTTTTTGGGTTCTGTTTTTCAAGTGAAAGTATTATGTCTTGGCACTTGCGTGCATTTCTCTCTCCCAGAAATGGAGTATCTTTTTAAAAATTTTCCTTTTTGTCTTTTTTCGTGACCGGTAACGAGATCGCAACCCTCGGTGTTGCGCCCGTACCGCGACCGGCAACGAGATTGCAACCCTTGGTGTCGTGCCCACACCGTGCTCAACCAGTGAGCGGACCAGTCTCTATATGGGATCCGAACCTTCGGCAGGGGTGCCGCTGTGCTCCCAAGTGCCGCACTCTACCGAGTGCGCCACTGGGCCGGCCCTGGAGTATCTTTTTGTAGAGTTTTCATTTTGTTCTCTTTTTTGCTTTTTTCCCCCTTGCCACTGAATTAAGAAAACATCTGAATTTATATTATGTCAGTTTATTCTTTGGGATTATATCACCAGTCTTGAAGAAGTTACAGTAACAGTGTGGGGCTCTTCCATTTAAGGGAGTATATACAAACATTACACTCTCTAGATTTTCAGTTAGCAAGTGCACATGTTCTTTGGGAGGAGTGGAAAAGTGAGAATGGTTGGGAAGGAAAGTAGAGACATCTTTTCTTCAAGCAAGTTTTTTTTTTTTCCTTTTTGTCTTTTTTCGTGACCGGCAACAGATCGCAACCCTCAGTGTCGCGCCCGTACTGGACGGGGACCGGCAATGGGATCGCAACCCTCGGTGTCACGCCCGCACCTCGCTCAGCCAGTGAGCGGCCGGTCTGTATGTGGGATCCGAACCCTCGGTGGGGGCGCCGCCGCGCTCCCAAGCGGTGCACTGTAGCAGTGCGCCACCGGGCTGGCCCTCAAGCAAGTTTTAAAAAATTATTTAAATTATTTATTCATAACATTTACTTCATAGCAGTTAATATTCTAAAACTCTGAATTTAAACAAAATTTAATTTAGAAAAAAATCTTATGCTTCTTTTGGCTTTGAATGCTCTTATTTCAATATATATTTAAAATTCATGGCATATTATATTGGAAAACAAGTTTCAAATCAGTGACCTAAGCTACCTTAAGATACCAGAAAAAAAAAAAAAGAGTAAATTAAAACCAAAGTAAGCAAGTAATAATAGAATAAAAATAAATGAAATTGAGAATAGAAAAACAATAGAGGAAATCAATCTAAAACTGGTTTTGTATAAAAATTAATAAATTTGATAAATGGCTAACTAAACTGATCAAGAAAAAAGCAAGGAGAGAGAGGACCCAAGTTACAGGAATCAGAGAATATATCACTACAAATTACTATAGACATTACAAGGATAATTAAAATAATGTTACAAACAATTCACTGTGTATAAATTCAGAAACTTAGGTGAAATGGACAAATTTCTTGAAAGATGTAAACCGTCAGAGTTCATTCAAAATGAAATATAATCTGAATAATCCTATATATTTTAACAAAATTGAATTCATAGTCAAAAACTTTTCAATATAGAAAACTTAAGGCCAAAAAGGCAAGTTCTACCAAACATTTAGAAAAATAATAATGTAAATTTTATACAATCTTTTCCACAATATCCAACTAATTTTATGACACTGACAAAACCTGATAAAAAATATTACAAAAAAGAAAACTGCAGACCAGTGTCCCTCATGAATATAGACTCAGACGTCCTCAAGAAAATACTAGCATATCAAATTCAATAATATATAGAAAAAGGATAATATGGCATGGTTATAAGAGGATTGTTCTGGGAATGGAAGGCTGGTTCAGCATTTGAAAATAAATCAGTGTAATTAACCATATCAACAGGCTAAAGAAGAAAAACTATATAATCATCTCAGTAAATTAAGAAAAAGCATTTGGCAAAATTGAGCATTCATTCATGATAAAAACTCTCAGCAAACAATATAAGGGTACTTTAAGAAGTTCATGGGGAAAAAATAGAATTAAAAGATAATATGAATCTTTTCATGAACTTTTGGAGGTACCTTCGTACAAGGGAGCTTTCTCAGCCTGATAAGAGGAACCTGTGAAAAACCTACAGCTAACATCTTACATAAAAGTGAAAGACCAAAGACTGGGAATAAGGCAGGGATGCCTATTATCACTCTTACTCAACACAGTCCTGGAAGTCCTAGCCAGTGCTGTAGGACAAGAAAAAGAAATAAAAGGCAAACAAGGCTGGAAGGGAAAATATAAAACTGCTCTATTTGCAGAGACATGATCGTCTATGTACAAAGTCCCAAGGAATCTAAAAAAAAACAAGCAAACCAAAAACCTCCTAGAACTAATAAGTGAGTTTTGCAAGATTGTAGGATACAAGGTCAATATGTGAACATGGGTCTTATTTCTAAGTACTAGTAATGAAAATTGGAAGTAAAAATTTATAAAAACATGCAAAAGTACTAGAGAAAAAACCAAACATGAAATACTTAGATAGAAATATAACATACTGTGGGCTAGACCTGTACTTTGAGACACTAGAAAACCATAATGAAAGAAATCAAAGAAAACCTAAATAAATGGAGAAATAGACCATGCTCATGGAATGAAAGACTCAATATTGTTAACATTTCAGTTCTTCCCAAACTAACGTATAGAGTTAGTGTAATTTCATTAAAAATCCCAGAATTTTTTATGTAGCAACTAACTAGCTGATTCTAAAATTTATATAGAAAGGCAAAGTAACTAGAATAATTTCAAATAACATTTTGAAAATGGAAAAAGTTGGAAGGCATACTGTCTGGTTTCTGAGTTTACTGTAAAACTATGTTAATCAAGAGAGTATTGATGCAACAATAATCACATTGTTCAGTGGCACAGAATAGAGAGTTCAGAAATAGAGCCACACAATCTAAATAGACAAATTTCCAGTTAGCACATTAAAAGATGCTCAACATCATTAGTCCTCAGGGGAATGAAAATTAAAACTACAGTGAGATACAACTTCATACCAG